CGGGCTGGGCAGAAGCCCCCGCGGCCAGGGAGGCTGCTGTCGGCGTCCGTGTTCCTCTAGGTCCAGATGACGTGGCCAGCGGAACCCTCAAGCCACAGCCAAGACCAGAGCCCCCAAGAGTAGTCACATCCGACGTCTGACCTATGTCCACTGAGGCGACTGAACGGCTCTCAGAGATCTGACCGCTGCGGCTCCCAGTGCTCACGGGCTGGGCTGGGGAGCGCGGCCACTGGTGCCGTGCGGATGAAACCGCAAGGTCCTGCTGTAAGTAAGGGCTCAGGGGACCCTGCCTTGGGGGCCCTGCCCCAGGGGACCCCGCCTGAGAAGGCAGAGGCCAAGCTAGAGGGCAGCTGTGGGGGTGTGGGACAGGCTGGCGGGGGGCTGGCGGGGGGCTGGGGCAGCTTTGCTGCAGTGGGAGCCAGCGGGCTGCCCAAGGCCGTCAACACGTGCAGGGTGGCCCCTGCCCGCGTGCAGCCCAGTCCCGCTGGCTGGTCTCCGGACTCCCTGCAATCAGGCAGGGAGCTGGCCACTGCCGCCTGCTGTCCATGCGCTGGCAGCCGCCTGCCCCTGGCTGGTCACTGGGCTCTGAGCTGGATCAGAGAAACAGGTCCCCGTGTGTGTGGTCAGCGAGAGACCAATGGCCTGCTGGTCTCCAGTGATCCCAGCCGTGCTGTGACCATGTGTGTGGGCTGCGTGGGGGGAGGGGAGGGGGTGCTGCCTGAGGCCCCGAGGGGATGGGCCCCCCACAGACAGCCCCACACCCAGATAGGGTGGCCCCATGCCCTCCAAAGGGGCCCCGGGCATCAGAGTCTTTCTCTGACCTCTCCGAATCCAGTGGCCCCCCTTAATCTCAGAATAACCCTGCTCCAGCCAGCGCCTGCTCCAGCTGGAGGGCCCCCGCTCCCCGGGCTTCCTGTCCCCCAGGGTGCGCCGACTGGGACTGGGCCACTCACGTCTGACCGCAGTGATTTTCCCGAGCGCTCAGTCGCGTAGAGCCAGCCTGCTGGGCACCACAGCACGGTAAATGCTCGTGGGGCAGCAACAGACGCCCGAGGGCCCTGAGCTACGCTCAGCAGGGTGCCTCCGAGGCCGGGTATCGGCCCCTCCTCCCCATGAGCTCCCTGGGGTCGGGCCCTGACCGGGAGAACAGGCTGTGTGTGCTGGGGCGTCGGGCCGTCACCCAACACCAAGCTGACCCGGTCGCTCCGGTCACTTCTGACTAAACTGAATCTCACAGCCTCAGTCCCACAAAG